TTTTCCAGCCTTGTTCTCTTCCAATACAAATTTTCCTTCGGCTACAAGTTCACAGCAAGTGCAAGTGTAGCACATGTCTTAAGATCGCTTTTCCAAGAAGATTTACCAGAAGAAAATGATTCAACGCAGCGAGAGTTACGTTTTAAATTTAATAACCATGCTTCATCTTTCTCTTTCCCAGAATCTCTACCAAATTTTTTGGAATTAGAACGCATTATTAATTACCTAAATTTAAAGAAGGCTCCCGGACCAGACGGCCTAGATAATGTTGTTGTTCAATATTGTACCGGACTTGATCATCGCATACGTCCAAACCTGCTGGCGACTCCGATACATTCCGAAAGAATCGAAAAGAGCAGAAGTCGTACTTTTCTTAAAACAGCACAAAGATCCACTTAGACCGCAATCCTACCGGCCAATTTGTTTAATACCAGCTTTAGGTAAGCTCTTGGAGAGGGTAATTTTAGGGCGTCTGCAGTATTATTTACAGAAAAATAGTATACTACATCCATCACAATATGGATTTCAAAAAAGGGCGCTCTACAGAGCATGCAATCTACGACCTGATTTCGTCACTACAATCGAATAGGAACGAGCATTTGCACTCGATTTTGATCAGCATCGATATACAAGGAGCTTTTGACTCCCTGTGGTGGCCGGACATAATAGACGCTCTGGTCACCATGGGGTGTCCAGCAGATATCATTGACTCATTCAAAGTTATCTGCAAGATCGTCATATCCAAGTGATTCAATGATTTTCCTTACTTGGAATTCTTGATCATTTTTCTGAATCTTGACGTTATATCCAAGATCATATGATCAAGAATTACAAAAAGGGTGTCCTCAGGGATCTTGTCTCGGTCCCATTTTGTGGGACGATAGTAGCTGACTCTCTTTTGCGACAGTTTGATGGAAAGTCAGACTGTAAACTCATAGCTTTTGCAGATGATTTTATGCTAATTGTTAAAGGTAAATCGGGTATTTCTTCTGCGGCTCAAGCTTATCTGGATATTATAGCAAACTGGGCACGAAGGCACAAAGTGGTTATTTCTACCAGTAAAACTCAAGCAATGTTGATAGGGGCATCTAAACCCCTCAAACGCAAACCACCTTTAAAATTGCAAGGCAAATCTATTAAATTTGTAGGAAGCTTGAGATACCTAGGTCTTATTATTGACTCCAATCTTTCTTGGACGACTCACTTGAAGGCAATCAGAACAAAAGTAATGTCACTGACAATTCACATGAAACGAACAGCTAGTAAGAATTGGGGAATCTCATCGCGGAATTTTAAAAATATGGTACTTGACTGTAATAGAAAGAATAATCTTATATTGTTCAGCAATATGGGCTTACTCTCTTAAGACACATGAGAAACGACTCTTAATTTCTATTCAAAGATCTTTTCTTCTAATGATCAGTCGAAGTTACAGAACAACTTCCAATGATGCTTTGCAGGTCTTGTCCGGCATTCCTTCCTCCGTTGGACTTAACAGCAGAAAGGGAAGCGGTGCTGGCTCGAATTTTGCGTCTTCGTCTAGAGAGTAAACTGTGGAATATTTCATACGATCCTTTAGTTATGAAACTAGGAGCACAGAACTTCTGTGTCATCCAGCACAAAATGACATTTCATGTGCAATAAGGACAACCTTCTCAAATGAGTCAAAAACGTCAAGTTCCAGATTTACACAGATGGATCTCATTCGGAACAAAGGAACAGGATGTGGACTATGTGTAATTCAAAATGGCAAACCAATGCATTCATGGCGTCGCAGACTGAGGCCAGCGAACTCTATCTTTCAAGCTGAACTACTTTCATTAAAAAAAGCAGTACATCTTTCAAGTCAATTTCCATCACAAGTGGAAATTTACAGTGATTCACTTTCTAGTCTGGAGGCCATAAAGGGGGAAAATTCAAGAAATACAATAGTAGCAGAGATAAAAATCCTTCTTCTTAACCTTCCTGCCTCTTCTAGACCCTTATTGAGCTGGGTTCCCGCTCATAGGGGGATTTATGGCAATGAGTTGGCAGACCAGTTGGCAAAAGAAGCGGTAAGAGGGAATAATCTTCCTCAATATTCATTGCCTTTACCATTTTCTTATATTAAGAGATATACAAAAGAGAACTTACTCCAGCAATGGCAAAAAAAGTGGGAACACTCCACAACGGGCAGAAGAACTTTTAAATTTTTGCCAAAGGTCTCGGAAACATTTTTGGTTTCATCTGCAGCGCAGTCAACTTTTCTCACGGGACACGGTCCCTTTCCGTCGTTTTTATTCCGATTTCATCTTAAGAAAGATGACAAATGTCACTGTGGAAGTATTGGGTCTCCAGACCATTTTGCTTTTTCTTGCCCACTCACCGCTGAATTTCATCTGCAAAGACCATCAGACTTATATTGGAGTGAATGGACTAAAAAACACTATTAAAACGACAAATTCTTCAGCACAGATTAATTCAAATTTTTAATATTTGCAATGAGATGTATACATTTCCAACAACCTTCGCATAATATTTGCACTATGGGTAGCCTTTTAATTTTTTTTCCCCATCTGACATGTTATAATGATAATTGTGTGTTTAACTCCAATGCATAGAATATTTAGCACTATTAAGTAGTGGATGTGCTCTGCACTTCCACATGGGAATAAGTTCTGCATTTGGGAATTGTCTGTTTGTATGTTAATATTATAGCCTTTAATTCTGAATTCTTTGTTATTTTATAGTTATTATTTTGTTCCTTTTTATTTTTTTTTTTTGCCATTTTGTTATTATTGTATTATTTTTGCATTTTTGTAAGTTAATTACAATTATTGTTAGCTGGTAAACTGGAATATTCTGACTGTGTAAAAAAAAAAAAAAAAAAAAAAAAAAAAAAGTTCATTACAGTTCTTAGAATATCTGCATTTTCAGTAAGAACAGGAATTTAGAGCTGTATCTAATTATTTTGTATGTATATCGTGTCCATCACAATTGGGTATAAGTTTCTGTTTTCCAGTAGATTAACTATTTTAAGCATTGTGAACTATTACAGCCAATTCAACTTAGAGCGGATTTATTTTATTAGCTGGCAAATTGGAATATACTAACTGTAATGAAAAATTGGTTGCAGTATTTGAAACATGTGCATTTATATAGTATGATGGATTGATAACTATACTAACTGCAATGAAAAATTAGTTGCAGCATTTGAAACATGTGCATTTATATGGTATAATTGATTGGTATATAATATGTACTGAATAATTTTGGATATTTCATGTTTGTTACAATTGGGAATTGGTTCCTGTTTTTTTGTAGATGTTTTTAATTATTTGAAGAAATTGGACACTATTATAGCCATTTTACAAGAATGATTAACTATATTTGAATATGTGTTCTTATGTTGTAGGAATACCTGCCAATTTGTATAGATTGAAATTGTTTATTTGTGCTATTTATAATTGTATAATAGAAATTTATTATTTTAACTGCCATGAAAAAATTAGTTGCAGTTTTTTTTTTTAAAACATGTACATTTGTAGTATGTTTGATTGGTAAATATTCTAACTGTAATAAAAAATTAGTTGCAGCATTTGAAACATGTGTATTTTTATGGTATGATGATTGGTATATAATATGTGCTGAATAATTATGTATTTTATGTCTATTTTAATTGGGAATTAGTTCCTGTTTTCCATTAGACGTTTTATTTTAGAATATGTGCTTTATATTGTTGGAATACCGGTCAATTTGTATTGACTGGAACTGTTTAACAAATCTGTAGTTTTGCACAATTTAGAATTGTATTGAAAAATTTAAGAATTAGTTTCCTTTTTTTTTATCATCTGGGAGCCAAGTCATTATTTACAAAACATTTGCTTCTGTGGATAATAGTAAAATAGTGTACATATTACAATGAAATTCCCAATTGCAATTTCATGTTTGTCTTGTGGATAATTGCGACACAGTGTGCAAATTGCTATGGACGCACATAATGAGGTGTGCTAACTGTTTAGGACACGAAGTTATGATGTATCAAAGTGGACAAGTAGTATTTACTTGAACGATGAATTTAACAAAAGTGAACATAGAATAGCCTACACAACATCATATACTTTGGGCTATGGAACTATCAATTGCCTGAACTGATGTGACTTGCTTACTCTGTGGATAACTGCAAAAATAATAAGACACACATCATTAGGTGTGTAACTGATAAGAACATGAAGTTATGATGTATTGAAGAAGACATAGGATTAAAAACTGGTTGATATATAAGTTCCACACTCCACAACATAGATCCTATCCATGACAATGTAATTATTAATTGATCGTATATGTATTTTCATACGGATTATTGTGTAACAATTATAGTATAGATGACACTGTCAATTTAGCATTGTAATATTACTATCATTGATTCAGTGAATGCCGCTGGCGGTGGATTGTAGATTCTTTTCCATCGCATGGACATATAACTCTGATTGGTGTAGAACCTTAGGTCGGAGGTCCATGCGACTGCGTACTGCGTACTGCATTGGTGCAGTTCCGCCTGTTGTACCCCGCCCAGTTGTATCTGTATCTGGTTGCCGCTCGAGTTGGCCTCCGACCGAGGTGTTACATCTGTCATCTGTAGATGTATTACTGACCTTAGACATCAAAAATAAAAAAAATTCAGTATTAGATCTGTGTACGTATTATAGCTATAAAGGGTAAACATATTCATGTCTGCATATATTCTCTACGCATCCATAGCATCATTTCTGTTAACGTTTTTTTCGGGGGGGGGTATATTTCTTGGTCAGGAGGTTTGTGCGTGAGTTTAACAAATTTTCCCAGTTTCTCCAATTTTTATTTTAGTCTAATTATTGAAAACAATTTTGCGTAGAAATGAAACTATTCTGTTCAAAACCTGTGCTGTGTGCTAGAGTCAACCGTACTTTTAGAAAAAACTTACTCTCTTTTTTTTATAAATTTGGTAAATTGTGTTTTGAACCCTATATGTTTCCGTACAGGGATTGGACAGAAATATCTTGGCATGCAGATGATTACATCAGGCCGGAACTGAAGAAAAAAAAATCTCGGGGTGTGCCTTTTACCTGTTGTGATGTGGAATACATGGGGCCCTGCATTCATGATGCTGGAGGTAATCAACGTCCAGGATACCAGAAAGATAATGGAAAATCGTTTTACCAGACTGGCTGCAGTGAGGTTATAACTTTAACTTTACGCTGGCTGCTGAGAAATTTATCCTTATGGTTGCTATTGCCAATTTGGTTGGAATTGGTGATCATAATAACCACAAAGTACTTCAATACTTCGATCCAAGATGCCACTGAAAACGGAGATGAAGAAGGACCGGGTTACGGTTACTTAATGGAGAAGTGCCCTTGTTCGTGCTTTGAATTCCTTGAAACGGATATACATAAGATGAAGAAAGGGAAGGAAAAGAAAAAGAAGAAGAAGAAGAAGATAGAAATTGGTGAAGATTCAGATTAGTCTTAGAGAATTAAAATTGTTTAGTTTAAAATTATTACTGTGTGTAATATGTTCGTTTTATAATAAGGGTGTAAAGACATTAGGTATTTTTTGGAGGCAGACAAGATGAAAAATTAGCAAACGCCTTCGCCTGGAATCGAACTACGGACTTCTGGAATACCGGCCCAGCTTGCAGAACCACTACACCATGAAGGCACGTTAGGAAAGTGCGAGAAGTACCTTATATACTCCCCCTTTTAAAGAGCGACTGGGGTTTTTTAGGGAACCCAATTGCCAAATCCTGGGTGTAGATATTCATTATCCACGACCCTTTTAGTTCGGGCGCCACTGTAGGGACATTAGGTATTCTTTGGAGGCAGGCAAGATGAAAAATTAGCAAACGCCTTCGCCGGGAATCGAACTACGGACCTCTGGAATACCGACCCAGCGTGCGGCACCACTACACCACGAAGGCACGCTTGGAAAGTGGGAGAAATATCTTATAAGGGAAGTAAGAAGATTACGTTTGTCCTCTAAAATAAAAGAAGAAATTACAAAATATTAATATTAATACCAATATTATACATAGGCCGTTCTCATATTTCTTAGACGACCTTGCTTTGCTATAAAATAAAATCAGAAAATTGTTTTGAAATTGGAAATTGACAAATTTGGAAAACCTTCCAATATCCAACTTGTTTTGAACTGCAATTATACTTTTTTGCAGTTCAGATTGGAACTGGAAATTGTAAACTGTAATTGTTTTGAAATTACAGTTTCAAAACAATTACGATTTCAAAAAAAAATTGACAAATCTTTTTTCGTGCCAAATGGCGCTTTTAAAGAAGCAATGGACGGAAGGCTATGTTTGTGGTCTTTCCGAAGAAAATTATTCGTGTTTTGTTACTAAAATTACTTTGAAATTACGGTTTAGAAAGATAGTAAAGAATAAGGGTTATGAAATGGAACATTTAATACACAAAACTTTTACGTAAAATATTGCTGTAAGTACAATGAAAATCGTCTAAAAAATGTGCGAACAGCCTTTGTAACTACTGCTACAGGAATAAAATGCGTAAAAAAGTTTTTTTTAATTAAATCACTTTATTATATCATGAACTTAGTATTAAATAGTGATGGAAGCGTTTACTTCTTCTTCATTATATTAAAACTCGTTCTTGATACGTTTGCTGTCGCATGTTCGATATGAAACTTACAAACGAAACGACTTGAAATAAAGCATGGAGATTAACCATCTCTACTACTAGCCTAAGCAGGTAAGAAAACATGCTGACTATTAAAAGATTATTTTATACGTTTTATATTTTGCAATGTAAAACCATTCAGTTTTGAAAACGTTTTTTTAGATATTTGATTTTATATCTTTTCGGCTTAGCATCCTTAATCTAAAACAGCGCCTTAGCTGCTTGAAAAATTTTTCTGTCAGAAGGAAAAATTTAATTCGCTATTTTTGAATAAACATAATGAAATTTTTCGATATAACTTTTATCAAGTTTTATTGATTTTATTTATTATATGATTACTGAATGACTGCGTAACATTACTGGCTCATTTATTACACGATAAGACCTAGAAATTTAGTGTTACGAAAAGGAATTTTTATTTTCTGAAGATATTCCAAAATTATGAATTTTCCTGTTAAAGTACGCACCTTCTTTGGAAACCTTAAGATGTAGTTTCCATTTCGGGATTTTTTCATAAATTTTTATTCAGACGTAGCACATTTGTACTGTTATCTTTCGTATTACAAATTCCGAAATCCAAGATAGCCACCACATTTTTAGTGCTTTGGAAAAGTCTCTGATAAGTCTACTGTACTTCTTCACGCACATATCAGCAAAAATGGCTGTTAAATGGAAAGAAATATATTTCTTCAAGGTGACGTTCCCGAAAGAAGTAAAGAATTATTGTAAGAAATGACGTAAGGTGAAGAGAGTATGTTTTCGCTTTTAGCAAAAATCCTTATACTGACCACACAGAATGTACACTTCTTCGCATAGCATAAATATGTCACGCTCATTCAGCGTAATTCATATGTTTACTATATCCTGACAGAAAACTAAGAACTCTAGAAAGTATGCACGGGATGGTTTGGTAACTTTACGAGAAGAATGGCATCCATAGTATTGTGAGGCACAGCGAGCCTACGAGTTGTGAGGCTGAGGCAGCTGAGAATTTTGCTGCTGATAACCGATATTCCAGAAGCTCATGGTTTCCGAGTATTACCTGACTTACCAAAGTGTTACATTACAATAGAAAAGAATGCAGTGGCCAGTCACAAATGCATGGACATTCGTCTCACCTTCTTGCTACGTGCTTATGCAAGCGGGAATCAACCGTTGCTAGTGTATCATTCCGAGAATCCACGAGCTTCAAAGAAATACACATGAAGAAAAGCCAGTTAAACGTTATACAGAAATTCAAAAGCAGAGTGAAGAAATAACAGCGGACTCTAAATATTAATAAAATTTTATGATTGTCACTGGTTTTTGACCTGTTTATTTGGTGTTGTTGCCAGAATTATACTCGTGATAAAACAGTGCCGGCCTTAAAACTGAAAAAGAAAGATTACTCAACAGAAGAAAGTCGAATATTTACATAATAAACAGTTTTTTTTTATACATTATTGAAATCTTTTTTAAGTAGGATCAAAACCAAGTAGAAAAGTAAAAATATAGTAATTAGCGGTATAAGCAGGTAAATACATAAGATTATATGTAGGTATATATTGGGTTGGCAAGAAAGTAATTTCGGTTTGCACAAGTAGACAGTTCGTTTTATTATTCTTCTGTCAATCTTATATATTTTTTCTCTTTGCAGATTTGGCAGCTGACACTTTAGGGTTGCTATAAAAGCCAATTCCACTTATTTTTGTTCACAACTGTTAATTTACGGTCAATTTTTAACACGGAGTGCAAAAATAAACATTTTCGACATATTTTACTTTTTATTTTCATAAAAGCAAGCAAGCGGCTGAAGCTCACAAAGAGAATGTAAAGTTTATGGTACTTTTCAGATTTGGCAGCTGACAGTTTATGTTTGCTATAAAAACAAATTCCACTTATTGTTGTTCACAGCTGTTAGTTTATGGTCAATTTTTAACATGGAGTGCAAAAATTAACGTTTTCGACATGTTTTACTTTTTTATTTTCATAAAAGCAAGAAAGCGGCTAAAGCTCACAAAGAGCATGTGAAGTTAAGTTTATGGTGCTGATTGCTTAACAGAAAGCATGCGTCAGAAATGGTTAAAAAATTTTGTTCTGGAGATTTTTCACTTGAAGATGACTAACATTCTGCCGCCCTTCCGAACATGAGGATGACAAATTTAAAGCTGTAATTGGATCGAATCGTCATATAACTGTGCGACCTAAATTGCACCAGAAAAAAATCATATTATCAATTGAGGATTACAAAGGTGTTGGGCAGTTTGAGCTGTTTCCAAGCAACCAGATCAATGTAGATGTTTACTGCCAACAACCCCTGAAACTGGCGGAAGCAATCAAAGAGGAAAGATTAGAATTGGCAAATCAGAAAGAAATTGCGTTCCACCACGACAGTGCGAGACCTCACACATCTTTTAGCAACCAGTACGAAATACTGGAGCTTGGTTAGGAAGTGCTGTCATATCCCCCACATAGCCCGGACATTGCACCATTGGATTATCATTTATTTTGAAGTTTACAAAATTTCTTAAATGGCAAACATTTCAGTAATTACGATGATCTTTAACGCACTTGGTTGAGGTTTTTGCTGATAAAGGCCAGACGTTTACTGAGCGCAGAATCTTGAAGTAACCAGAAAGACAGCAAAACGTCATCGAACAGATTGGAAGATATTTGACTGATTAAAGTTAATTTCTTATATAGAAAAATAGAGTTTTATTTCACACTAAAAAACCGAAATTGCTTTCTTGCCAGCCTGATATATATAAATTATATTCATATTACTTTTCCATATACACTTCAGATGTATGCAACGCACAAGGAATTACGTTTATATTGCTAAGTGGTAAGGCTCACCTAGTTTCAGATAAAGTACCGATGTAATATTCGAAAATATGGCCTATATCAAGCTGCATTAAAATAAGGAAGTACTGTACCCTTTTACTGCAGCTCGATTATCAATAATTTAATCATTTTGAGTATTTTATACGCAAAATTTTAGAATTTAATTAATCCAACTAGTATTATCAAGTGCTTGTATTTCGTTTTTTATATTATTAACGATATTTTCCTTCTAAATTTTTAGTTAATTAGACTTAATAAGACTTAATGTTTAGAAATCAAGTAAAAATTTAAAAATTATGTATTTTAGATACTTTCCGTTTTATTTTTGGAATGAGTTAGAAAAAACATTGCTGTTTACCTTCTCGCGATATAAACCGTTTAAGGTGCTTCATTAGGGAAGAACAAATTCTTTGTGCTGTTGCCTTTCAAGCGAAAAAAAAAAATGGTGTGTGAGTGGTTTAACGATGTTACCAAACACGTCATGCTTTTATTTTGAATCTCGTCAGGAGTCAGTGAAGTCATTCCTCAGGTGGTAAGGCTCACCTAGAACCCACTTGGCGAGCGGCCCACTTGTCATGGATACGGTATTTTAGGACACCTTTTGGAACAGGCCAAAACATTCTTCCGTAAACAATCCGTGTTGCTGGCTCATCGTGCAAAAATTATCGTTCCTATCCCGGCAGTAGATCAGGTAACGTATTAGGTAAGCAGTGATTGCCATCTGATCTGCTTCTTGTTCAAAATGTGATTCTCTGTTCTGGTATTTGCTTTGCTCTTGCTAAGTAGTTAAATAAATTTATTCTATGAACTAACTAATTCATTCCTAAAGTGAGGTATCATTATTAATTCGCCATAGTGACAATGCAGTGCCATATGGTCATTTTATAAGTGAAAGAAAAATGGATAAGTAATTTTTTTTTCAAATTTTACTTTCAAAAAATAATTTGAAATTGCGGGGATTCGTAAAAAGAGGCATGAATGTGTCATGAGTTTCTTGATGTGTAGAAATATTTATATTAAGAAG